AATGTTGATATTAATTCCATTACATTTTAGGAGGTAATAACACCATTGTTAATTTAAAACTTTTTTTTTTTTATTAATTTACGCTTTCAGAACATGCGGAAAAAGTTGATTGAAGTTTTTCTTTGAAATTTCGTGCTTTTTCCGATAGAAACCGTTTGCTTGCTAAGAGTACCTGCTTAATATTTTGCCACTTGTTTTCTGGCTTCTTTAAAACGCTAACAGATCTCGTTAGAAGATATTTATGTGCATTTAGAAACGTTTTCGAATAAAAACACTTTAGTGTAGCTTCGCGGATGCGACGGTTTGATAGATATGAGGTTGAGATGGATTGTCCCAGAAATCCTAAGATTAGGAAGAATTTTTAATGTTGATTACGAATTCCGGCAATCTTGAGAGCTTGCAAGCTTTGAGAAAAAAAAATAAGTGAATAGTTTTTTGTAATAAAAAACCAAAAAACATACCTAAAACACATTCGAAAACTTTTAGAAACACGATTTTTGAAAACGAAAAGCAACATAACTCGAACTATTCTCCTTTTTTCATTGTAATTTTTTACAAGATCTTTTATATAAAATTTTTAGTGAAATGCGTAGGTTTTTTCAATAAGTTGGTTTAAACTTATTTTTGCTTAATAAAAACACTTTTTTTTAAACAGATACCCATCATTTTTATTTTAAATACGCATAAATGGTACTGAAATCTACATTTTTAGAATTCTCTATGTACTTCGCTAGCTAGATTTTTCTTTTAAATTCAAATTTGAATCAATTACGCTGTTTACAGCAGAGCCCCTTAAATAGATAGTGCCCCAAAAGAATGGATCTGATTTTAAGTTTTTTTTTATTTTTCAGAATTACATATATATTTTTTTTTAATACTTATTTAAATACCTAATAGCTAATTTCCCTTCCATCCAAGAAACAACTTTGCGAAAAAACTCCCTATTTTAGGCTTTCTTAGGCTGTCCCAGTAATTTTACCTCTTAAAGCGTATAATGAATGAATATGAGATGAAAAATTAAAAATATAATCAAAAAAATTCCTTTTTTGCTAGATAATCTTACTTTTGTTACGTTGGATTTGGCGAACTCATGACACACTTTGGAAAACAAGCCCCTTATCACAGTTAGCATATTCAAAGAATGTATCTGTAAATAACTGAAATTGTGGTAAAATAAAAAGTGTTCTCAATTTGCTTTAATCAAAATCGATGTCCTCAACTAGTCTGAACGCTTGCCCTGATAGCAACTCTGACAATTGAAAAGGATTTAGTTGCCTTTGAGAATCATCTCGTTTCACTGCGATAAATATTGGAGAGGTTACTATTATTCATTAAATTTGGATGAATTTAGCAACCGTTTAATACCGCCTATCAGGTGCAACAGCAAGCAAAAAAAATTCTGGGTAGACCCAGGCACATCGTTCGCATCGAGTGCAAGAGCGTGTCGTATAGTCTGGAAGATGATGCTCTGCATTCGTTACAATCTAGTATTAGCCGTTAAAATCGGGTGAAAATGTTAATATCTATATGTTGTAAATAACAATTAATTGATTTGAATTTTTCGTGTTTGAAAAAACAAATTTAATTTTTTCATACGTCAGTCGAAAAACCCAACCAAAACCGATTCGCGGCACTTTCGATGTGCTCACCTGGAGAGTGCTATCCCACTTCTTAGCTTCTTTCGATTACCAAACTATTGCATCGAAGAATCACAATTTTGACGCTTTTTTTTCTTTCGAAAAAAAAAATTACCCATGTATCTTAGAAAAGCGAATTTCATAGCAATACTTTTTACCTATTCTGACACATCTACAATAGAAAAAATTTTTACCTAGAGAAGAAGAGCAGCGTATTAAAAACATGATCTGCTGTTTATAAAAAAAAAAAAACGAATAGAACTCAGTTAATGGAACTATTGTGAAAAGACGAAAGCAAGGAAAAAGAAAATTTTGCGATACATATTGAATGATAATGAAATTAATTAAATCGCAAGCCATACCATTCTCATTATAGAATTTTTCTTGTTATCCCTCGTGCGATAGGCTTTGCTTTTTTCCTTGAAATGCTGATGCACTTTGTTCCCGCTTAGATTGTTATAAATGCATTTAATCAATTATTTGAGATATGGTGAATATTAGTAATTAACTATTGATTTCTATGGTTATGCGTATGAAACATACCCTGTACAGCGTGAGTTTCTCAGTATTTCACTTATGAGAAATAATTTTGTGTAATTGTCAAATAAGTTTCAACAATATAACTACAAATTTGCAAACATTAAATAGGCGACTCTATAAGTAAATATTTAAAGTAAAAATATATTAGAAAATAAATCGTAAAATTTTTAATAATATTCTCAAATCTAATCGTTTGATATTCTATGCTTTTTCAAGTTAAACTCTTATTGCAAGTTTTTCTTGAATCGTTATATTTACATATATATGCATATATTATAGAAAATAAAAGTTGATTACACGTTCCTTGAAAAACGCTAAATCGATCGCCGATAAGTTGAAAATTAATAAAAAAAAAAAGGTTTTCAAAAGAAAGCCTATTACCATTACTCATCCATAAGGTAATATGAAATAATTGTGCATTTATTTTTTGATGCTTACTTTTGTTTTACAGCCATACTCATAGAGCTAATATACTTTGGCTTTATGACCAATTAGGGCTTATTAGCCGTATTTAAGACCATAACAATTAACTAAATAACACAATGTTTGTAATGTTTACGTTATTTAACCTGAATAGTTTTGACTTCATATATAAATTAAATATTTACAGATATTTTATTATTAGTAACAAGTCGAGCACGCGTATTGCTGTAATGTTTGTCGTCGACATATCTACTGAGAAGAAAAGAAGTGCAACCGCACATATAAACGAGTATATGATTAGAAACTTTTTAATTTTTTTCACATGCCCCTCAAAGCAAACTAAAGTCACACTCAAGTTCCTTTAAACTATAAAAGCTTAACATATTAATATTTAGTATTGATTTTAATTATGACTACTATTTAAATTTTTTTGTTTCGGACTTAAACGAAGTTTGAAAGTGAGATTTTCAATCCTCTTAGAGTGTAAAGGTAAATATGTTTCATACATGAGAGGAGATGGGAGCGTAGGAAAATTTTTGAGCTGGAAGTTGAACATTTCTGAAAAGTCCGGAGTATCAGAAAATTTAATTCTCGTTGAAGTTCTTCAATACTTTTAGAACCTGAAGCGCTTTTAAAAGACAGGCTGTAAAATGCTTTTCTAACCGTGCGCGTGAGCATGAAAATCTGGCTTTTAAAGTTCTTGATAAAATATCAAGTTTTTGGTTTTTATATTTCCTTCTCTCTCTCTCTGGCTCTTTCTTCTTTCTTAAAAAGGAAAGACCATCATTAGCGAGATCCAAAAATAAGCTTCTCAAACCATACTTATTCAAATCTTGTCTAAAGCCTTAAGTTTCTAAATCGATTTAGCGAAATTTTTCGCTTGTAATGTGATGAAATATCCAAATGAACGAAAATCTGATCCGACTTGAATCTGTTGTATTGTAGACATCGTTCAATAACTATATTTTTTTCGTAAGTAATTGTACAAAATAAAAATGTAATTTATTATAACCCGTCTAAATGTGCCCAAACCCTTGTTCGAATTTACGAGAGATTCGAATCTGAAATGGAGTATTTGTTAGGATGCAGCATCACTTCTTTACTTTATAGATTAAGTGATCTCTTAAATAGCCATAAATAGGTTTAACATGACTTTTGTCGGAGTGGAAAAAGTTTAAATGGTTCAAATCATACATTTTCTGAATTCTATAGCAAACTTAAAACTTTAAATAATTGTAAACATTTTTTTTTATGCCAATTTTTTTCATTATCATTAAAAACATTCCGTGGTGTATTACAAAAAAGTTAAAAAATAAAAGTTTGATCAATTTGCAATTTTTTTTCACGTTTGCGGTCGCGATCTCAACGCACGCTTTTGTTCTGACAAGGCAGCAAATAAAGTCAATTTACAACATTTCATATCAAATATTCAAAATGCTTTGATAAACGTTTTTAAACGTGCGTGGAGGTAGAAATCTAAAAATAAAAGGAAGAAATAGCAAAACAAATCTTTATAGTAAGGAACAAAGTATTGCTTACACTCTACACATATGTGTATATAAACATATGTATACATATCTATTCATAAATATAAGTAAAAAAAAATTTGCAATTGTAAATAAAAACTAACGTACCTATTATTTTAGTAAATGATTGTAAGAAGTAAAAGAGTACAATAGAAAAAATCAATGTGCGGTGATCGTTGTAAAGCAATTTCTGTCTGTAATTTAAATTATTTGATGTCAATCTTTTCAGTGTTTACTAACGGAGCATATAAATGATTAACTAGAGTATACTGACAAGACTGAAGAACAGGATTTGCCGGCATTCCGGGTTTTTCATGTTGTCTTCCTCTAATCTATCGACATTTTTATTCATAAAAAAAAAAATATGTATACATATATTATAAATATATACATATACATATATTACATAAATAGTGTAATAATATAATATAGATATTAATATGTACATATAGATATATGTATATGTTCTAATCTGATATATACCATATATATATGCTCTAATATGATATATATCTTATAAATATATAAGAATATATTTCATATGTAATAATATACATATATATAATATATACACATATGTGTATAGAAGTGTTTTATTGATAATTGCCTCATACATGTTTGGGAAAGTTACATATGCAAGTTATAAACACTGCATTAAAAAAAAGAGTCTTCACGAAGTAGATTTATAAGATAAACAGTGTCGTTGTCAATAAAAAATTAAATTACACTTTATGTAATTTGTATTACTTGATAAAATGATGTTAACTTCTTCGTGATGTTTTGCTTTGAGCTTCTAATTTTTCTTTTTTCCTTTCTAAGACATTTAATAAAGTCTTATTTGGTTTTGTGTATCATGTATGTATCCGTCTTTCAGAATGCTGTTTCAACTCGACCAAGTGCATCGCCCACCTCCACGCAAACACCTTTACATACTATTCAGCAAGTGCAGCCAACAAATTTAACGACAAGCGCCGTGCCGTCGTCCACAGCCAGCCTCACTACACCCACTGTTGCTAGCGCAATGGCTGTTACATCCACAGTGCCGCCGGGTGCTCGTTCAGTGTCACCTGCCACGCCATACAACACTGCAAGTTCTTCAGCAGGTCTTGCATCAGCCGGGCCGGGTGGTGGTGGTACTGGTAGTGGTGGCGGCCACGTAGCACAATCCTCTGTATTGCCTGGTGTTCCCCTAACAACGGTTACCCCAGGAGGACAGGGTGTGCCACCGAATGCGGCGAGTACACCTTCAACTGGTAATCGGTGCTGTGACACCGGTCGCACAATATATACTGATCCTGTCAGCGGTCAAACATTGTGCTCCTGCCAATACGATATGTTAAGCTATCAAAGGCTTGCTGCTGCTGGTAGCCTTGTGGCTGGGCCGGGTGGCGTGCCATTGGGCGTGTACCCAGAAGGCATGTCGGCCTATTTGTCTGGTATGAGTACTGATCAACCAGCTTTCTATGCAAATCCGGTAAGTAATTAATAATCATGTACGAAACATCATATTGCAATAATAATTAGTTTAATAATAACAATGGGAGAATAGTATTGGTAATAATAATAATAATAATAACTTAAACACGTTCGATTGCAACTAATGTATATATAGTCAGTAATCGAATTTTCAATAGATGAAATGCAATCAACACTTCCAATTCATTTTTCTTAATATGACCAATCGCTCAAACGATGTCCCTTATCCGTATAACACGAGAGAAAGACATAGAGAGGTGATGGCCGCAGGTTGGCGGGTGTGGGCCCAAACACTAAGCATTGTGCCTTCACCGATTGATCTGGCTCACATTACAACTGCCACCCAAATAAACTCTACCAACTGAGATTTGAATCCGCGCACAGTGACTTGGCAACCGCGAATCTTACCTACTCGGGTATAAATTGCAAATAAATTTGAAATACGATCAAATTTTCTTTCTTTACTTTGAATTGTAAAATGAGTCTAATGCACCGAATGCGTTATTTCAATTCGATGAGTTTAAAGAATTAGAGCTTTATAAAATCGTTAGGGAAAACGTTACAACAGACCACCAACGGAATTAAACGTACAAAAATTGGTACAACAGCAAGCTTTACGACCAACGATTTCCGATATTTTATGTTTATTTCATTAAAATTAGCTTCTCACGTATAAGAAATCAATGATCACAATTGAAATTTTGCACTTTTCATTAGTCCCTTAACAGAACCCTTCTATGAAACTTAAAAGCGACATAACGTCAGAAAATTAACTAATATTGAAATCATTTTAAAAACAAACGCATTCAGCTTATGAAAATGTGTCGATTCGAAATGTATTACAGTTCGAGCACTATTTGATAAGTGAAAAATTATTTTAACGAAATGTTTAAGTTAATCTAAAAATATTAAATTCTGTTTTTTATTTTTAAAAACTTAATATAACTGAAACAATCAATTAGGATTTCCCTGTGTTTTATGTCGGTATCGTCTGTGATGACATTAACCCATCAAAAGTAATTAATTTTCAACTATTTTAAAAGCTTCTAACGTATTATAAATCATCCAGAGAAGAGATTGAAAAGGAATGGTGTAATTTCACCCCCCAATTAGTTTGAAAGATTTCTTCCTGTAATTTTTTGCTTCAAAGATAATTCACAGTTTTTGCTTATGAAGTGAAAGCAATTTTTGTTGTATCGTATAAGAAAAACTAAGAGCGCCACCACTAACATTCATATCATTATTATGTTCAAAGAAAACAACACACGTCAAATTGCTTTAAAGAAGTCATTACTTTGACACAAGATGTCATTACATTGACACAAATGTTCAACAGAAAGGCCGATATAGGCATACATATATATGTACATGTAAGCGTACGTGCATATATAGATATAAATAATACATATTTATAGTTGTATTAAGGAAGGAACATGTAGTCTCCATAAGTAGATCTGGTATAATAACACTTCTTGTGAATATTTTCATTTTTTTTTTCTTCGCTTCCTTAATATAAATATACCGACTGATTAATAATTGTGTCAACGGGTAACGCTTGTAGACAGAGAGAAAGCAAGAAAGAGAGAAAGCGAGAGAGAAAGTTATTACGAAAATAGAGATTTAGGTGACATAAAGAAGCTACTTTGAATTTCTTAAACTTCATTTTCGATAGAATTTTTTTTTGTTTTCTTCTTTTTCTTTTCGCTTTCTGTTTACATTATTCTGTGGATTGAATTATTTTTTACACCTTTATGCACATGATAATTAGCTATTGGCTGCTTAATGGCGCCCGATAAAAGGTTTTATAAAAAAACAAACGTAATTCTTTCATCAAGTTGAGTGTTGAAATTTAAAGTTTTGTTTATTCTTAAATACTGAAAATTCTTTTCGGCAATTTCTTTAAATCGTTTTTAGCCGTGGATAACACGCATTCAAAATAGTTTTAATTGCCTATAAAATACACTATACGTTCTATTTTGAAATGGAAAGTATACTCATTTTGGGACGAATCTCGTGCATCCATCATTTTAGGTAAGCGCAGAGGGGAGTGCCGTTAAGACCGATTCTTAAATTACTTTGCTACAAATGTTGACCAGCTTTTGTAATCCTGCATGGCATGTTACCTCGTGGTCTCATTGAAACAAAGCGAAACATTTCGAAGTTACTTAATTTATCTATAATTTATAACACAATTTTGGCTTACTTTCCCAAAGCGGATTGTAATCGATTGTACGCACTTCAATAGTTTTTTCAAATTCTGCCTTTTTTATATCTGAAATGATTATTAAGATTATGCGAACATGCTAACATCGTTTTGAAAAAAGGCGAAAAATAAAAACGTACATGTTGGAAAATTGAAGGATAGTAAGGGACTTGAAAAGAGTTGACAAGAAAGAAGCAACCCATATAAAGACCCATGTGTAGAAATGCCTCGTATATCGGAATCGGCTAAGGATTCATATCATTCGATGATAATGGAGCTATTAAGAGCAAGCAAGGAAGAAAGGAGACATTAATACTGGTATATATTCGACTTGAAAACATTTGGATCCCGTTTTATTTTTGTTTTTTAGAACACTGCAGGTCGATTGTTCCAAAGATAGCTTGGTGGATACAAAGTTAAGAGTTGTGGCGTGCGGTATACGAGCAACTCCAGAAAAAATGGCTGAATACGTGGAAAAATCGGCTTCTACTATTAAAATATAAATCTATTTCATCCTTTGCTGTGCGCGTACCTATTCACACGCAGAGCACAATCCATTTTGCGCCGATGCTTCAGAATCTCGAAAGTATTAGACGCTGGTCTTTCTCGAATCGAAATTTCTAATTCTTATGTTTATTATTTTAATCGATTTCAATTTTGGTTCAGTTCACCAGTTCAACTTTCTCAACTTCAAAAATAATGGAAGGTTCGAAATTTTATATCAATTAAAAATATGCTTTGCTCACGCAAGTTTCGTTTTCTATATTTTATAAATATTATTTTGTGTCCGATCGTGTTTAGACGGCATTCTTACACATTTTTTTTACATGACATCTTTCTTGCTAATTTTCTTTTGCATCATGCGAGCTTGTTAATGAAGAAAATGTACTTTTTTTTAGAAAGTTCAACTGACGAAGAAACATCTTGTCTACGGTCCAACGAAGTGATATATCTTCTGTTTATTGTACGCATACTATAGTGCGTTTTAATTACTTATAGGAAAATTTTTTAAAATAAGTCTTTGCATGGCAAGTGGCCGATCCATTTTCAACAGCGCTCGCGATCGACCAGATACGTCGATATAGTGAATTTCGTGAAAATATCTAAAAAATTACGGCTAGATAAAAGAAGACAAAATGGACATTCGGGCAGTTTAGATCGGTTCAGAAAATGATTCTAATTCGATCGATATAATAAAGGTGAGTCTATCACAAGTGCTTTAGGACTGTGTTGCATACATCCACACAAACTTAATATACGCTCGTAGGTCAAGTTATGTAGGCTATATAAACGTTGCTAGGTTCTTGTAATCATCGCCTTAATGAACCGGCTGTCTCTGTTGTCTGCGTAAAAGGAATCTGTACCTTATATGCTTATTATCATCCTATAGTGACGGACACAGAGATTCATATCATACAAAATTAACAAAGAAATAAGGTGATTTTTTTTTTTTTTTTTTTTTTGAAAGCTTTCGGTTACGCTCCGAATATTTGTCAAAGTTAGTTTTCTATCTGTAGGTAAATGTATGAATGTAATAACCCCATTGTGACAAATTGTGGTAATTTATTCCGAATTTTTAATTTTTTTTTTTAAGTAAAACATGGCGCAAAGCCAAGCCGTTTAGTTGAGTAAATTGACTGGTCACAGCTAAAAAGCAAATTAAATATAAAAAAAAAAAAGTAAAACAAAGAGAAAACATTTAATACACGCACCCGCGTGTACACAAAAACGCACAAACGCAAAAGCCACAAACTAATTATGTGTAAGCGCAAGCGCTATTCTTAATTCATTTCATCAATAACTTTTACATCGTTAAAGTAAAAATTGACATTATAATAATTTACAATATTATCCTACACTTAGTTGGGTTTTGCTGTCACCACATAACACACCACTCTATAAGTTCGCATAGGATGACGGTAATGCCTAGTCACTAGGATTTTTAGATGCCAGCGAGTCGGTTGCAAATTCCATACAAAAAAAAAATTTGAAAGCTTTCTAAAGAAATAGAGTTAAAAAAGCAGGCAAAAATATAAGATTCAAATCCCACCCAAAGTAAACCGCTTTCCAAATCTATTAATTAATTGAAGCTCTTTTTCATCCCACTGTTCCTAAGCCAACCAACTTTAGATGTCAAAAAATAAAATATATTTCAGCAGAAAAGTTTAACAATACAAAAAATTGAATCATATTAATCATATATCTGATATATATATAAATCTTTTATGCTACGCTGCGAACAATTTCAATCAAAATTTTTAACATTTTGAATCCACAGTTGAATCTAAAAAGATTTCGTTTTTTGTTTTTGAGAAATCAATCATTATTATGGTGTTTGTTACATAAACCAAAACAAGATTTTATGAATGATTGAAAGTCGCTTTTTTTTTTAAACTAGTTTGAAAATTATTTTATCAATAAATGTAGTAACGGATATATGGTTTTTAAAACTTCTATAACGAATTTTTGATACCCAACATTTATATAAAGTGTTTTTAAGAAAATTCACAAAACAAATTAAAAATGTAAATTGAAATGCTCTTAAATTTTCAGCTTTGTGTATAACTATTATTTTCATATATGCTCTAAAATAATAATTGTGAATATATATTAGAAACGATCAATATGACTTCAAACCAACAAAATTCCAAAGGGGATGGAACTTGAAATCATATATCACACGTATATGTCTTTGAATTAATAGTGTCATTGCTTGGAATTATGAGACCACATATTATCCAAATGGTAAGGAGATATGATTTTTTTTAACTTTATATAGACTGGCGTAAGATTGA